GGGGACAGGCTGCTGGACACACTGCGCTCACCAGCCAGTGACTTGTGACCCTCCGGTAAGAGTCCCAGCCCCGTGTGGCCTTGTGACCCAACCCCTCCCCACTCACTGACCCCCTGACCCGATGTCCGCATGGACAGGGCCCCGGAGACCCTTTCCCACGACGGGATAACTAGATGACAATCGGGATCTAGATTCAATACAGGGGAAAGGGCTCACACCCGGCAGCTGCTTCTCTCCCCTTTAACGGGCCGCCCTGGGGCTTATCACTGAACAGACACAGCGAGGGACGGTCTGACTCTGCCTTGAGCCAGGGCCAGAAATTCAGTATTAAGGGAAGGAAGTTGGGCCCATTATAAGCAGCGGGTCATGCAAATAGGGGAGAGAGGTTCCTGTTTAAAACTGTCTCTCTTTCTGCCCAGGCTGCACCCGCAGGGACAATCCGCAGCTCCCTGGGTCTGGGCAGTGACCAGCCAGTCCCCGGAGAACTTTCCCCGCCGGCACCAGGGACAATGAGACTTTGGGTCGCAGCTGTTTTCACTGTAGCGGCTTTGGAAGGTATTTTGTGCCCCTGACCCAATGACAGAGACGGAAGGTATTTACTTCCCCGATCACATAGCAGAGCCAGGAGCCCAGAGAATTCTCGCTGGTTTTCTACCGGTTCTTCTAACATCCCTTTATTCGCAGGTGCCCGGTCCCAGGTGCAGCTGGTGGAGTCCGGAGGGGATGTGAAGAAGCCCGGAGACTCTCTGCGCCTCTCCTGCAAAGCCTCCGGCTTCACCTTCAGCAGCTACTGGATGAGCTGGGTGAGGCAGGCTCCCGGAAAGGGGCCGGAGTGGGTCTCTGACATTAGTGCGGATGGGGGCACCAAGCGCTATGCAGACTCGGTTAAAGGCCGATTCACAGTCTCCAGGGACAATTCCAACAATCTGCTCTATGTGCAAATGACCGGCCTGAGGCCCGAGGACACCGCCCGCTATTACTGTGCGAGCGACACAGCGACACGAAACCTGCTGGTGATCAGACAAAAACCCGGGCTATTGAATCCGCGTTTCCCCGTTCGCCACAAGGGGGCAGCAGATCCACAAAGAGCTCAGCCTGAGAGCGGCGGACCCAGCCCTGCGTTACTGTGCGAGAGACACAAACGGTCCCCTGGGGCAGCTCTGGTTATGCCAGTGCCCGGGAGCGCGCTGGGCCTCCAGTTTCACAAGGGGCTGAGGCTCCTTCTTAGAACGGGGGGCTCCCCATGGAACTTACAGCTTCGAACCCACCGCCCGGACTCTCTCCTCACCCGGCAGCTAGAGGAGGGACTGCCAGGGAGATCCAGTGCACCCGGGTGAGTGCCCAGCCCCGGGGCTGTGAGGGTTTCCGGGGGTGCCACCTCCAGGCCGTGCCCCACAAGTAAAGGGTTTTTCTTTCCTTCTTATGTTTCAGGGGTGTCACTGTGATGGCGCGTTGGGGTTTTCCCGTCTCCTGCACCCCCGTAATGGCACGAACAAACTCCACCATCCAGTAGAATAGAGGGAGTTTATTGCTTCTCCAGGATACAGCACAGCACAGATGTAATCTGGTTACAGGGCCAGGCCTAGGATGCCTCAGCCCCCCTTGAGATGGGGGAGACTGGGCCCCTAAATTCCAGCCCCTTT